TGAATGCATCGGAATCTTTGAAAAACTGAATGAAACAAAAATGTGCAAGTTATTTTGTGAAAGAAAACAAGATTTAGGAAATTTCAATTTGTATAATGGAGAACCGCATTATAATAATGACTTTTGTGTTAACTAACATCTGAATAACCTGTAAAATAATAAAATAAGCCATGAACAAAATTCACAGAAGGAGTATTTTTCGCGAGGCACTAGCTAGAATTTGCTCACAATTCGGCATGCCAAAACCGAATTGCTTCTATATGGAATTTTTTCCGTATAAGGCATTTCTGGTGGTGTATTTCAGTTCGGAATGCTAAAACCAACTGAACTCGGATCAACACAATTTCTGTATTGAGTTTAATTTTTCAAAATTAACATATTTTTGTTCTTTTAAATATCCAGTATACTTATCTGTTGTAGAAAAAATAAATAAGAGTACCAATTATTTCAAAATAAAACCAAGAGATTTTTATTGTTTGATAATACTAATAATATTTTCCAAGAGGTGCCTAACTATAGCCAAATCAGAATCGAGTAGTCAACCTATATGAAAATAACGTAACTAGTGAGGGGTGTATGTAGGTACATTCAGAATCAATAAATTCATAAACTACAAGGAAAATTATTGGCAATCATTGACAATGCATGTTATGCACTTTGCATGAGTATGGGAATTTTGAGTCGAGAGCGACGCAATATTAAGAAATGAAAAATTAACAATCAACTAGTTACTGAATAATTAAAAAATATACCGACTGTATATAGCTGAATAGTATATTGCACTTAGCAATACCAAGTCCTATTGAATGACAACTAGTAGTCATAATTAAATTTGGAGATAAAACATATACAAGGGTAAAAAAATAATGCAGAATTTTGTCTCTCTCCAAATATTGAACATATCGCGAATATGGACATGACACACCCACACTACCACCTAACTATTCCTGTATGCGTACCTATACTTTTTGTCAATATAGTTTGTTTTATGTATATGTATTGTTATGTCCAAGACAAGATCTCAATTTTTTATGTAAGTGATTAAATATGTATATGTACTTGGAAATAGAATCTCGGGAAAAATACTGAATATGCGAATTACTAGAACATAACAGAAAGTTGTATCTGATGAAGTAAGATTTATTATGGAGAAGTATGTTGAAATATGATACGCTTATGACAGATGATAATGCAAGATAAGAGGGACGCCTCGAAGATGAATAACAACAATAGTTGCAAATCAGCTGTCAAGCCATGGCGTATGAATAAGTGCAAAGATGTTATTTTGTTATTGTCACGTAGTAAATGTGATGCGTGAAGAGAGAGAGATATAATGACGTGAAGGCACTCGAAAGTGCAAATTGATGTATTCGTTTCAAAGTGAGACGATAGATGTATGAAATAATATGTTTTTCTCGCGATACGAAGAGAAATAGGGACAAAGTAAATTGTCAGATTAGAGGAAATAATGGCAGATACAAGGTTAATGATATTCAGGATGTACGAGATGAAGTTTCCACAAAATACCTAGATATTCATTATATGTAATTCAATGCTCGTCGTTAGGTATTAGCCAGGAGTGTAGTTGTTTTATGATAAATATCATATAGGAAGATTTGTTTTTTTTTCGGTGACAAACCATTTATAATATTAGAAAACAAAAAAATTAGTAACATTGAGATAACATATAGGAATGAGAATTGATTGAATAAATGAAACATTGAAATGAAAATCAAGGATACGGGTGTGTCATTCCTATTTCAAATCAAGGAAGAATCAATTTCCTACAATTCAAGGAGAAATTTAAGATAAAACAAACAATTCCATATATCTATAGTAGAAAAGAGATTCTTGGAAAAGTGATAGCAGCATATAGGTACATCTTTTTCATGAACTAACTTAGGTAGTTTTGTTTTTAGAGATCGCTAATCGATAAAGTTATATCACCAATATTCAATTATTTTATAACTAGTTAGGTAGTTTTATATGTATTCTTTTGTATGAACTTACTGCCGATATTTTTTCTCTCTTGTTACATGTGAAACGAAGAACCACACTTGATGGCACCACTCAGATGCAGCCCAAGAAGTCGACCTGAACCACAAACAGTCATAGGCCCATATACCACGTCAAAGGTGTCTTGGTCCATGAGAAGTTCCATCGTTCCTGGAGTCATCTAGTAGATGAAATTCGAATGGTAGAGAGCCCTGGAAAATTGGAAAATGCAGTTATCACGGAATGAATAAGCCGAGTCGATATATCGCAACTATAGGATGCATGCCCCAAGCAACTTACTTTGTATCCCGCCTGATGTGCCTCGAAATGGTAGATACGCTGCCCCGTGAAGAGCTGCCCAATTCGCATGACGATATGCTTTTCCGACGCTACAGGAGCCCAAAAGGCAGCCAAAATCCACGAAACCTAGACGAAATTTCCACGAGGTTGAGATGGAACGGTGCAGAATAGACAAAACTTACCAGAGCCCCGACTACAGGAAGTCAATACAGTAACCAAAATAATGTCTATATTCCCAAGCAATTAAGTTCGCACTACCACTCACTATACGAAAATCACGCCGATTATAAGTGTAGATAGTACCGAACTACCGAAATCATTGCGAAAACGAAGCACTAGTAGCAATGGACGACAAACTACATATTCAGCAATTTCCGTTATCTGCATATGAAGTGACAGAGATACTCTCCTAAATCCCTTCTCGTTTCTTCTCCGGAGACGATAGAGCGCAGCATCCAAAGTACGCAGCAATCGCAGTCTATAAGCTGAACCGTACACTGCCATAGAAAACGTCTCATCAGAGAGCTAGTGTTCCCTCCCAGGCGAGATTGGACGCCGTCAGACCTTCTCACAGATCTCACGTGCATCAATCCTACCATGTTATGATCTTAATGTTATGGATGTATCAAGTTACGAGTAAAACAAAACATCGCTGACCTACATTACTAACATATAGAAAATGGAACCGCAACCTCAGATGACTGGAAGGACAGAGTTCAGTATCAACAAACAATTAAAGTGTAGTGCCGGACCAAGTGATTTTCAGTGTGGTCCTCTTTGAAACTCTCACATACGCGAAGAAAATAGACTTATCTAATGGACAGTTATCACAAGTTCTTTTCATTTGTACATTCCCTCTTTAACTAACGATTTTTCTTTATGTAATGTTTTTATTTTTCATTGATGTAGGTATGATTTTTACACAATTTTATATTTTTTATTTCATTCGATCACTTAGGTACTTCATTTGATTGTCTCATTATTCCATTTGATCATTGTTTTGTATCATGTATATAGGTAGTTAAAGACACTTGAAGCTGTGGGGCCAGCTTCGTCAAACAGGGGAGATGTGTCAAGAAGTACAAATGTCTATGAAATAACTTTCGTTCATGTCAAGATCTTCTATCATTTATTAACTTTTCCAAATTAAAACATTCAGTACATTGCAGTTCGATCAGGCCAGCGGAGTTCATAGACATCATTTCCTTTATAATTTGCAAAGAAATCGCTTACCGCGGCGATAATACCTAGGTAAGCGGTATCGAAAAGCTATCGACCGTTCCCCGTGTGGAAAATAGCGAACCTGGCATCGATTCCGAATATAAATAGATTTCGAATCGATAAGCCATTCATTACTGATTATTGATCATTACTATTCATTACTGATTTTTGATTATTATTGACCACTCATTCCTGATTACATTACTATTTGATTATTACTAAGTAAAATGCATTTCGATAACACTTTACTTTATTCCGTAATTGAGTTACTAATTCACGAGTTGCTGCCAAAAAGTGTACCGTCTTCCCAACTTTGATCCTGCAGGTCAACCCCATGTTAGATGTCATAAAGTAAGTACTGTTTTTTTCCCAATGTTGTTTTGCGTTGATCTTTTTTTTTCCTTTTTGTTAACCTGCCATGTGGCAGCATCTATTCATAAAACTTTTTATTCAATTAATAAATGTTACTTTTCTATGAAAACTGTCCGGTCTCTTTATTTGGGGGTGAATAGGGTTGGATGGTGAAATGATCAAAATCCTCTCATTAAGCCAAGCGAGTAGCCAAGTTGCGATCCATAGGAGGGCAACATCTGAGTTGCGACATGTGGTGGACACGCCGTTTGCCAAATAATCTACCAAAACCATCTGAGTTGCGACAATATATCAAACTTTATTAGCACAGTGCTCTTCATTACAGTCAAATCTACAATAAAATACAATGAGTCAATGAATAAAAACATAGAAATATAGAACTAAGACACAGACACATGAATTACGTCACATATTTCTCCTTTCTCAATTGATCAATCAATAATTTTCTTTCGCAAATAACACACACGATTCTTCAAAACTATCTAGTGACACACATCTTTTCATTTCACAGGGCAAATTATTGAACAATACCAGACCTTTTGTATATGAAGTATTGCATACATTATTTACTGAATTAATGTAGAAATCATTTGCTGCTTGTCTTCTGGTATTGTGACAATGTACATCTTGAACATAATAAAGCTCACTTGATAAATACAGAGGCAACATGTTTTTTTTTTCAATTTATAAACAAAATTTAGTGTATTATATAAAACTCTTCAGCATTGTTGTGACTGGTGTGCGTCTTTGACAACCCATTATCGTAATAATAAGAAGAGGGCCTTCTATTACTTTTTATATTCGATATTTTTAAAAAATAGTTTGATATTTTGAGAAAAAATTCAACACCGATATATATATATTTCTGATGAGCTCTTAAGAATTCAAATGAGAAATTGTACACAACATGTTGGCTCTATTTTCCAAAAATGAGCAAATTCAAAAATAAAACGAGTACGCCGCTTTATTATACTCAGAAGCCCCGATTTCACAAAAATGTAAGGCAGTAATGTGACAACCGCAACACTCTTTCTCGAAGGATAACAGAGATATCGCGCAAAAGCATCGAAAACTGGACACAATGTACATGTATATACTTCTAGTCTACTCACCCAGAAGAAGCATGGTCAAGAGGACAGGTCCAAAATAATTGACCTGCATCAGCACCTGCAGCCCGTCGACAGTCATCTTATCCCTTAAAAAACCCACGCCCGCATTATTTATCAGAATATCCAATCGCTTCTCGTTGGCCAATATTTGTTTGGCAAATTGCCTGATGGACTCCAAGGAAGAGAAGTCGATCAGTCCGAATGTCACGTTGCTGTTTCCTGTTTCCCTTATTATACTGTCCCTTGCTTGAACTGCTTTGTCCTCGTTCCTGCAAGCCAAAATCACTCGAGCGCCACGTTTGGCGATCTCCAGGGCAGCTTCATATCCAATGCCTGCGGAATTTTACGAAGTACACCCAACTAGAGTCTCGAGATCATACCCGTGTGTTCACCGAACACGCCCGATCGTTCCCTAAGCGGTGGGGAAACGTAAACGGGCAGCAGTAACTACGTTATGAATATTGGCGCGTGCCTGAATTATTTTGGAGTCAAATTTGTCAATTCAATGTACTTCGAAACGGAACACTTAATCTATGATATATTATAGGTAGACATCAAATCAATCAATCATTCCAGAATTACGTCATTTGACAGATTGCTGAGGGGCAAATATTGTATTTTGACAAGATTTGTCATATAAAACCAGAATTTGTGGGATCGTTCTCTTTTGAATCAGAGTTGGAACCAGAAAGAATTTCATAATTTTGTTTGGTGAAACTGTTATTATATTGTGGATGTGGCAGGAATGGCTATCAGGGTTATATGTTCATCAAACAGATAGTTTGCCCCTCAAGAAACCATGTCAAAATCACATGTTCTAGAATGATCAATAAACATAATAGTGCTCTCGCCATCGGTATTTGCTGAACTTCGCTATGGGAAAAATGTTGGGATGAAGAATGATCTATACAGGGTGTATCTAAATAAAACCGAAATAATTTAAGGGATGATTCCTTGTGATATAATATGATGAATAAAGGTCATATAAACTTGCTTCGTTTTCGAGGTACAGGGTTACGTCCTGATTTCGAATCCGAAGTGATTTTCAACCTATCTTGCCTCCTAATATCATTTTCCGGAAATGTTGGTGGGTCCATGACCAGAGCAGTGTTTTTCACTGAAGTTTACCTCACTTTGGTCATAGTTGGTATATATATATATCTATCGCTCCTTAAAATTGCGAGTAAAATTGAACAGTTACGTTAGATATACGGGTTGATATTCCATTATAGAAGTGACATGCACACTGTTTATATTTTTAAATACATCCAGTGGGATTGAATTTTATTTTATGTTGAATATTAGAGTGTGTTTTTTCATGTGATTTATTTGTTTTGTTAATTTCAAATATATATATTTTTTTAGTATAGGCATACTAGTATACTTCTTTAATATAATTCTGAAATCTGATCCACCCTGTATTTGTTTCAATTAAATGGCATCAGTAGATAGTAAATAGAATGTTAGGATAGGGACACATGTAAGCCATTTTGACAAATCATTAATCAATATAGGTATTGGTATAGTTTCGATACAAAAAAATCTCGATTTTTCACATTCTACGTATAGGTATACCTTGAGCTTGATCAACGAAATCATAGCTCAATTAGAAGAATCGAAAAATGTAATAAAATATAAGGTGTTCCAATTTGAATAACAAAGCTGATGCTACTACTATACTACTAAGTACTACATAACTACTAATAATAATTTCTAGTGAAGCAGATGAACATTATCGAAAATAATTTGAATAAAACGAGCGTCCTCGCCAACAAAACATAAGCATATAATATGTACATATAGTTTCATGATTTTCGATGAGTGGTTCGCTATTTACATGTAGGACTCGTCGTGACATAGCGAATTATTGCAAATCAAATCATCGCTTTCATTATCTGATAGGTCGCAGTAGATCACTTGATGCCTATCAAATGTTTCTTATTTATTCGAAAAAAATTTTTTTGAAATGTGATCACGAAAACTGTTGGTGGCCCACCCCGTACTACAAAAACAAAGACAGCATGAGAGAAGCTGCCTGCCCACTCATTGTATCATGACTGCCTGCTTACGTCTCGGTCTCCCCACCGCTTAGGCATTGTCGATCTAAATGGAAACCTAGTTAGGTAGTTAGTAGGCGAGAGCATAATATTGTCTGTTCTTTGAAATAATAAATGAAGGCGTTCAGTAGTACAGAGACATCAATGTGAACCAAGTAAACTAAGTTATTCCTTTTTTATTCCTAACCCAAACATTTTTCATGGTCCTGTCAAGTTTGTAAATAAAAATCTGTCATGTTGAAACCCAAAAATGAAACATTATCATGAAAGATATTATCAAGTATGAAAACCATCTACCTATACTTGAATGGAAGCAGGGAGATGTTTAGGCAATGCTGTATCAGGTTGACTTATGATGCAACTTGAATTTAAGTTGGAACTGTGGAAACTTCGGAAACTCATCAGTGCTTTCACACTTTTTCGACATGCAAGCCAAGCAGAAAGGTAGGGGCTGCTTATTTCCTTCTATATTTTTGATAAGTTACTATATAATTCATGAAATTCCGTTATTTGCAGTGAAAACATGTCTTTAGTTATGTAAACTATGTACACATCGGATTCACTATACTTGAAAATTTCAGGTACCTACCTACAGCGAAGAGTACCTACATGAATAGCTTTTCAGTTGAAAAACGAAAAACTATGAGTGATACAAACAGATTGATGTGGAAGAATCGCATGAGGAATTATTATGTGAGTAATGTTTAGAAGAAATGTACCAGAAGGATGATGATGTTTGAGAACAGAATGGAAAATTCCCCATCTGAAATGAATATACAAGGTGTTTCTAAAATAGGTGGTCAAACTTTGAGAGCATATAGAGTGGGTGAAATAGTTACGAAAACCTCCGTAACATTTTTTTCTGAAGTGACCCCCAAGAAAGATACAGCCCCTCAAAGGGGGGCCTCAGTGAATGATTTTGAATTAGTATTTCCAACACCTTGTGTAATGAAAATCTGAAATTTTGTCCATCCACTTACTATTCAGTGCCGGTTTGAATGAAGTTAAAATCACCTCAAAATTAAATACAGGGGTGTGTCAAAATAAGGAGGTAGGGGGTAAAAATAACCCCAACTTTTTTGTTCATCACAATTTCAGTTTTTTTACATGAAATTATGAAATCTCAGGGCTATTAACATAGAAAAGGAGCTCTTGTTGAATCTCGATAAAATGAACCATTAGCGAATAAAATTTATTTTTCCAAGATTTCATTTAAATTGCAATTTTGGTGTGCGCTCAAGTTTAATTATCTAGTTCAAATCTCGCAACTGAATTTTCACCTATTTCTGATCGTCTGATCAACTCAGAATCTGGCAGATGACAGTTGACAATGCGTTATGGCGGCTCCAATGTGGCTGACCAGATTTGTGATTATGGTTCGATTCGATTCAAAATTGGTATGTGAGGGTTTTTGGGGTTGGAAATTTAGAATTCGTTGTCGGAATTCGTGAAATCAAAATAGGTCATGATGCTCCTGTGAATTGGCCCCCGAGGTCACCAGATCTCAATCCTATGGACTTCACTGTTTGGGGACAAATGAAAGAAAAAGTATATTCCCGGTCGATTGATTCTATCGAAGAACTGCAGGAGAGAATTGAAAACGCTTTCACTGAAATAATTCATGAGGGAAGGCTTAACCGCATATTATTTTCTCTTGAAAAAAGACTGCGTCAGTGCATAGAAGTAAATGGAGGACACTTTGAGGAGTGAAATGATAATTAAGCATCAAGTCATTAGAGAATTCTTATTACGCTGAAGAAATGTTGCGGATCTCTCACTATTTCATCGTGATACAACTTGCCTCTCTCCAGAATCTTACTAATCGAAAACTTCATCATCCCTCTCTTACATTCCTGCTATGCTCTCTAACTCAGTGTTAAATTCTACGTTCCATTTCGTTGGAGTTATGTTGTATGAAAATGTAATAAAATAAGGTAGAAAAAAAATCAGTGATAATAATGCTTCCATTCAAATGCTCCAGGAAGTGGAAGAAGATATCTAGAAGCATTTTTTTCTCATTTTTAGAGCATTCACCTTATTTCATCTTCGATTTTGTATTTCAATAGTTGAATTAATAAAAGCTTGTTTTTTACAATATTTTTTATTTTATTTTCAATAGGATCATCCATAATCACGAAAATCGTCGTCTATTTTTAATTCATGAATTCCGACAACGAATTCAAAATTTCCAACCCCAAAAACCCTTACAAACCAATTTTGAATCGGATCGGACCATAATCACTAATCTGGTCAGCCACATTGGAGCCGCCATATTTTTTTCTATCAAAAAGTCCATAACGCGTTATCAACTGTCATCTGCCAGATTCCAAGTTGATCAGACGATTAGAAGTAGGTAAAAATTCAGTTGCGAGATTTGAACTAGATAATTAAACTTGAGCGCACACCAAAATTGCAATTTAAATGAAATCTTGGAAAAATAAATTTTATTCGCTAATGGTTCATTTTATCGAGATTCAACAAGAGCTCATTTTCTATGTTAATAGCCCTGAGATTTCATAATCTCATGTAAAAAAACTGAAATTGTGATGAACAAAAAAGTTGGGGTTATTTTTACCCCCTACCTCCTTATTTTGACACACCCCTGTATTTAATTTTGAGGTGATTTCAACTTCATTCAAACCGGCACTGAATAGTAAGTGGATGGACAAAATTTCAGATTTTCATTACACAAGGTGTTGGAGATACTAATTCAAAATCATTCACTGAGGCCCCCCTTTGAGGGGCTGTAACTTTCTTGGGGGTCACTTCAGAAAAAAATGTTACGGAGGTTTTCGTAACTATTTCACCCACTCTATATGCTCCCAGAGTTTGACCACCTATTTTAGAAACACCTTGTATAGAAGCAATAAGGTTAGACTCAATCTGTTTATTTCATCAATGTTTTATGGATATTCTGCTCCAAACTCAAAATATCAAGATGCTGGGATATTTAGAATTTTTTTTATTGGAAAATAACTTTTATATGTAGGAATGACAATACAATTATATTTTTTTTAAAAATTGAATATAATTATGAAGAATTATTGCAATTTTTATTCTACTAATTTGTTCTCCTCTGATACCCTGTTTATTGTTGTACAGATTTATTGACAGGTGAGTTTGAAAACATTATATATTGTACCAAAGGTAAGTATTTAGGTTAAATATATGTTTTGCTGAACAATGATTATTTTTTATAAAATCCCTGCCAAAAATACCTTATGAAGTCTCATGAAGAAATATAGATAAAATATGAGTATTAATAAGGATATATAA